AAAATCTGTGCTAGTGAAGGTGATATCACTGATGATGTCTGCGTAACTTTTGAGAATGAAATCCTGTACTATAGCACAGGACGCAGGACTAGGTACGTTCCACAAGATCTCCCTATTATCAATTCCAAGTTGCGAAAACAATGTCAAATTAACATTATACAGGTAAGGGAGGCTGCAACCAAACAAAAGGCTACACCATCCTGGTCTTCATATCGTAGCTATGAAGAAACTAATACATTTATTAATAAGATAAATCATTTCAACTTAATTTTAGTGGAGCACACTGAGTAGTAATTATAGCGGACAGTAGCAAGGCTTAGATACAAAGAAAGTAGTAAACCGTGTGCCAATGACCGAAGAAAAGCTTCCAGCGCCAGAGGATTCGTTATTATCAAAGAGATAAAAGTAAAGGTGTCAGAAGAATAAGTTGTAAAATCTGAGTCTGACATTAAAAAATTAGCATAAAGTCCTCTCATCTGAAGCATAATAACCATCTAGTTATGAGAGAATGTTCTATATCGCATTATGAAAAAATAATGAACGATGCAAAAAGAGACATTTAGACATCGTTCAATTGAAAATAATAGGATATTTATTATTATCAAAGAGTTATATCTAGATCATGTTAATAAGTTGTGAATACTCATCCTAAGGCAATAGATTTTAACATAGAGAAAACCGCGTGAGCAAAATATCTACTAAAAGTAAATCTTAGCTTGCAGTACGTGGTTAAATATGGGGATCAAAAAGATAGTCTGCCTTCCTATTAGGTCTAATCATATCAAACCTATGGTTGCTGATTTCCCTCCACCGTCTTGAGCCAGGACTTCAGCTTCGAGTTGTTTGCGTCCAATCCAATCGGCTGGTGGAGCTCGAGTCAAATGGACAATACCAGAAACGGGATCGATGCGAAGATAAGGCGGTACCGAGCGAGGCTGGATACTTGTCAGACTATAAGTGATGGTTCCATTTACACCGGCATCCGGATCAAAAGCCTCTACCTAGAGCAAAAATAAAATAAGCTAAGGATAAGCACTAGCTAGAAAAGGAAAAACAATATGTCATTCTAGGTCCATTCTAGGCACAAATTTATGTACATTACTTGGAAGTTAGATTTACTTGAAAATCAGGTCAAGATATCGTATATGTATTTAAGGTAACTAAAATGTTGCATTATCATTATATGCCATATGTTGTGATGTGTGGATCCAAACTCCTGAAATATTGGAAGGATGAAAAAAGTAAAAAGCATGTCACTCAAATAAAATGCATGCAAAGGATCCAAGACGATCAATTTTGAAAGTTTAATATTATCTCTAAATAAATCAGATAATTGGTGAAAACGAACTGAGCTCTTGTCCGTCATATAGTGAACATTACCAAAGCATGTTATCATTCTTACACTAGATTCAAGCTAACGAGTAAAAAAACACACTGGCATATCCTTAATTGGTGCATATGAGCTCTATATCTAAACTATTTGATGAAGTATAAAGTGATTTAGTTAGTTCAAGTCATATGTCAAAATTTACGCATAATTGTGTGACTGTGCGTGTTTATGTGCATTCGTACATATATCAAACCAGCAGTTATAGCTCAAGGTAATTAGAAAACATAACGTCTGACCACCACCACCTCTTCTTTTATAGTTTAACCATTACTTCATCAACAAGTCTAGCAAGTTGATGGGCTTATTAATTTGGCGTGAGAGAAAGAATGAACTAAGATGTATATAAAAGTGACCGTAATTGGAGCCTAGACAAGAAGACTAGTTAAACCAACTTCTTTCTTAAGGCCACTTAACAAACTCTATCCTTAAATCTATCAATTAAATGTAATCATATGAGGTGTATTCACCCTATTTCCTTTAAAGTGATAAGAGGACTAGTAGTTGCATTTTTCCACAATGATAAGACTAGGCCTTAGGTTTCCGAAAGGGTATCCTCATCTAGGTTGGACTGCCGTTCAACCTAGCCAAGTTCTCATCGGCAGCGCCAAGGGGACTCGAATCCGGGCCGTGAAACGCATATTATCACGACGTTAGCCACCACACCATGCTGACACGAATGCCCTTGGATCACAAAGTAGAGATAAATTGCAAGGAAACATATGCCTATCCCAAATCACATTTCAGTGATGTGGACGTAGATGAAACAAAGTTTTATTGTTATTGAAGTGCATTTCATTTCGTTTAAAGAGGCTAGTGGAAGGGATTCGTAAGTCGATAGACTATCATCCTTTTCCAATTCCATTATGAACTTGATATTCCCATTGATTCCATTCATCAGCGTTAGGGAATTGTCCTAGACATTGTTTTGCCATGCTGTCATAAGGCCAAGTAGTTATCCATGTAACTAATCAATAATTTTGGAACTAAAAGTGCTTCTTGCGTTTGGCGACTTTCTAACTGAGCCAGGTAGATATTTTCTAAAATTGGGGATAAACATGTTCTCATAGCTAAGCTTCGTGTTTATTCGTACGATTTACTAATGAAAGTAAAATATGTACTGCTCTTTACTAAATTCATCAATCTCATTATAGCACTTTACCTAAATTTGTATTTCTCATAATATCATTACTTCAGTCCAAAGTTAATCCTAGAACCTGAGAGCTCCACTTACAGAAATGTTGGTGTACATCGACAAGCAAATCTCCACCTATTCTCTGTTCAACAGATAGACTGGTCTAACGCCAAATGTATATTTGGTCATGGAGACTATACCAGTATGCGGATAATCATGCAATCAATATAAATCAACGAAATTGCTAACGTCCTGAATAGAAGGAATGAAAGATAGAGATAGCTAGACATATATATATATATAGAGAGA